CTTGTAATCTTCATGCATACAAAATGAGTTTTAAGAATTTTTATCAAATGTTTTATAATACAGTATAAATTAAAAATTCTTTTTATTACACTAAACAAAAACAAACCTTCTTTGCATTTTAAAATATTTTCCCCCTAATTCTAATGGAGGTACCTTTATGTAACCCATACTTTACTTCATTACTTGCATTAATTGTTTTAGCATCTCAATTACTATTTTTATTTGTCAACTACTACATTTTACAAAACCTTGCAGCCTTAGACATCATGGAAAGCCACAAAAACAAGTCACAAGTATATCATATAAATAGTAGGATCACATGTGAATCATTCAAAAAATTTATTTGAAAATATATATATAAACCCACATAAATAATTTGTAATACATGTTTACATATGTATCATCATATAGATGTTTGTTTTCATAAAAAAAAATCAATATAAACCTTCCTATTAAATTTCTCCACTTAATTTTAAAAACTATTTAGTATTTTTATTTGGATTAACTATGCACATGAACCCAGCAGGGAAAATGGGTCTTCTTTAAGCATCAACCCACAAGTAGCTCGTGATAGAAAGCTGAAAATGAGCCAACTACAAACCGACTTTTTTTGCAATAACCCATGTATATATATTTTCAAATGCAACTTAATAAATTGAAATATTTATAGAAATGATGAAAATTCATTTATTATGATTTAAATATTTATGGAAGATGAATAAGGTTCATTAATTATGATCAATACTTTATATTAAAAAACAATCAAAATTTCTATCAAATTACATATTCATCAAATTAAATGGACGGTTAAGATTAAGTTGTATTAATTATACAAATGTAAAGGATTGTATAATAACCAACTATATATATATATATATATATAAGCATACAACAGGTCACATGATTCACTTTGGTTTAGCTTATCCTATTTTTTTATTGCGGGTCAAACTCGATTAGTGACTTTCTTTCTAAACAAAGTAAAAGAAAGCAAAAGGGCTGATGAGATAAAGAAGCAACTGGAACAACTTAATCACATGCATTCTAAACAAAACACAAACTATGATGCATCTTAGGCTCGTAACACAGCAACATATCATCTTCAACCAATGCATCTTAGGCTCGTAACACAAACAACTTAATCTTAGGCAAGATGGTTTAGAAATTTAGAATAATTGGCTAAACTACAAAACACATAACATATATAGATCAAGTCATAGCATCTTATATATGGTTACGGTGTGTTGGTTAGTGGTTATTCATCAGTGTTTAGACCACTATGATCTATAACATGTCCCCAAACCCGACCATGGTGCTGAAACGTAAGGATAGAAGGCATGTCATTGCGTCAGAGTGGCAGGCTCATTGGCTTCTTGAACCAAGACACAGCTCTAATGTTTCTTGAATTATCTGCGTACCAAAATAGTGGAAACCACCCCCCTCCCCCTGACTACAATTAGAAATTCATCAAATATAATACGGTTAAAAAAAAACCAATATCAGTAAATTCTGGAGATAAGAAGCAGTCTTCAAGACCCAAAATGAAGGCAGGATAGTAATTATGTGGTGCTAGATTGCATGCATTGTGCATATCTAACGAAGATGCTGAGAAAATCATCACCAAGAATTAATTAGAGGGCAAGATGGTTTAGAATAATTGACTAAATTACAAATCACCTGACATACATCAAGTCATAATCATATTAAAATATACCATAAGCCCCATGCTTCTTAAGAGTTCAGAGGTTCAAACCTCATCAACGATAAATAGAATGTATGAGTTTATTTATTGCATTTACCGTATATAAAATAAATTATATACTTTAAAAAAATTCCAATATAGTGCTTTATACCTATACCATGCTATGTTAAAAAAGCATGCATAAAAAGTTGAGAAATGGAATACTAGACTCGGAGCTAAAAAACAGAAATGAAACCTCTCGTGTATCCTGAAATGTTAGATGTTGTGGTTTCTGAGCGAGTCGGATCATAGTCCAAAATACCTTCTCCTGCACAAGCAACACCAACAACTGCAAAATTCAGCCAAAACACCCACCAAGGTTTTGCTATGGTAACCGAGGGGATTACACAAATATGCTGTGTGTGTGAAATGGTACAGCTTGTTGGGTGACAAATGTGAACTTGACAACACTTCTGAATACATACACATATAACTACAGAAATCCATGCTATTTTAACTGGCCACCAGAACCATATGAGTGGCATTAGTTCATGTATAACTTGTTTAGCTCTAACTTCATGGGAAACAGTCTTAGACTACATGCACCATAAAATCCAGTGTCACTGCGTCCAGGTTCTAATCATGCAGCTAGTAAGATACTTGTCCACACCTTTTGTACGATACATTGAACTCAGATGTTAGAACACAAAAATGAACTAACACTGTGAAAATCCTCAAGCAACACCAAGAAAACCACAAGAAGATTCAGACCCACGAAGGTTATGCTACCATTCGTAATGGACGGCGTTGTACTAACACTGTGAAAATCCACAACTAATGACACAGATTGCAGAAGAGAACCAAATCCCATCCATGCGTACAGGTTGTATAAGTTACGGCAGCCTCTTGTATATTTTTAAGAAGCTGAATTTGGAACTAGAAACTATAAATGAACCCTCTTGTGTATCCTCGAATGGAGGTGTGGTGTAAGCGAACATAGTACTAAAATGGGCCTCCTGCACAAGCAACACCAACAAAGCTGCGACAATATTCAGACAAAACACCCACCAAGGTTTTGCTAAGTAGATGGCGTTGTGCCAACACAAAACCGAAAAGAAAGAGATGGAAATAAGAACCTGGGTTGCAATCCACAAGAGAATACAACCAACATGTACAAAACGTTAAAGCAGTGTGGCATAAGCCATAATACACATAACATAATACATGTGCATACTTACTTTGGGTCCATTAATCACCTTGTCACCTATGATTTATCAAACGAACATGACAATAACTTGAACTAATGTCCATTTGCTCCTTTGCAATTTGGAATGAGTGATTAACATTCTAAATGACATGACCTTTACAGTTTTCAGCTGCACACTATCAACTTCCAACAATTCGAGCATGCACAAACCATTGTTACTAGCCTGTATTAAAGATATGAGATGCAAACCCTTGTAAGTAGCATTGACATTCAAATGGTTCGTTAAACGACAAACTTCAAAAAGAGCATGTTGAATTAGAGAAGAGTCAAAGACGATAGGTTTCAATATTTGACATCAACAAAACCCTAATCAAAGAAGAAAGTAAGGGAAGTAAAAACCAGAATGGTAAAATAGGAAAAGAAGCCAGACACAAATTGCTCAAGAAGTTCTCTTTTAAGCTACTTTTCGGTTGGAGATGCATTCCAAGAATAGGGTTGTTGAGCAGTTAGAACTTTTGGAAATGTGAGATGAAGGGCCATTTACTAGATGCTTACCTACCTGGGTAAGCTCATACCAAGTCACATTATTTTATCGGATAAATATAACAAGGACTAAGAATCTTGCCTGGTTTGGGTCAGAAACAATTATGGAACAACGGACCGGTTTGGGCCGAAACTTCAAGACTTGGATCAGCCGGGCCAATCCCACGCATTCAAATGTTCGGTTATGTCATTTTCTGGACCAAACTTTGTAGAACCATGTTCAATAAGGTATTGAAGATAGCTTCTAGGTTTGACGATGGACAAAAGCAACATAGGTTTTTCACCCCACACATGTTCTTCGTCAAGAGCTTTATCTGTGGATTGGTCGACAACCCCGTAATTTGCCCATTTCAAAAGTTACGATTTTCTGCAGTTGATGCAAACTTTTCATATTTTCATTTCGTCACAAACTAATCAACTAACTCCTCAAACCAAAACGATTAAAAAACAATTGTAAAATGTAAAATATATAAATGGAAACAAGACAAACACATGTGCCTAAACCCATGGTGTGTTTGCTTTCAAAAGCCAAAGCTCCCTTGTTATCCATCAACATAAGTTGGCACATTGTAGGAGATGACAAAATCTTTGACACTAACATGAGATAACTTCAAATGAGTGACAAAAGAGAGTGATGTTGATTTTGTCCAAATTTTGGGGTTGGAGGTGTACAATTTAACATCAAATTTGTTGATTGAACCATTTTTTTGTCATAAACAATTCTCTCCACAAAAACATCTTATTCAATAAAACAAAAGTGCCTAATCAACAAGTCCTCGGTCGATGATTTATGCGTTAAAAGGTTCAAATCCAATTAAATTTTGGGTGCATAACGTGTTTCGATTTTTGGTTTTTTGTAGAGATATATCGATAGGAAAAGAGTTGTCGTTATCATATATCCGCATGATAAAGAGGAGGATGACATATTCATCGTGTCTAAATCATTGATGTCTTTTGGCTTGTGACGGTTAAGAAGATGTAGACATAGATAAATGTTAGGGTATGATAAGGAGGTTCTAACGAGAACAATATAAAGGTTGAAATATACAGACATGCCACGAGATAATTAAACCTGGAGTCAAGTGAATTAAACCAAAAAACGAGCACTTTTTTAAATTCGCATCTATATTACTGTACTTTTTCATCCGTTTTTTTTCATCCTTTTACTAATCTCGTTTTTGAACCCTCCTTTAAAGTATGATGTGGGGAGATAAATTGACTAGATGTATAATAATTAGGCTAAAGATTAGAGGTGAGGGATGACAAGTAATCCCGACCTCATAGACGTATACGCATAAAAAAAAAAGATTTGGTTGTGGGGAAGGTCACATTTGGGAACGGTTTATTTGCATGACGTTTAAAAGTATGGTTCATTTAACGTCATGTCAACTTACTTTGAGGAATAGATGTATGTTTCGAGAACCATGAAAAAACTGGTCACAAACTTCCACATTAAATTTAGACATTTTTATATACTAATTTCACACTTACCGGATACAACTTTCGGAATAAAAATATTAACATCTAACGATAAATACAAACCAAAATTGTTGCCAAACGATAACTACTTAATTATAAGGTTTTTAAGGGGTTAGATATAGAACCATCGAGCAATCCAACCACCCTAGCGATCTTGATGAACAAAAAGCAAAAGTATATGGCTAAAAGACCGCCTCCCAAAGTTCGATCGAGTCGCATTTCTCTATTTGGCAACACCACGAGGGCCCATAATAGACCGCCGATCAAGAACCCCACGGTCTCACACAGATAAGGGTTCATTGGAACCATGTATGGTTCCGGATAACCCAGCCAACATGCGATTACAAATGAAAATCCTAACCCCACAAATATATTGAACACTGGTCCTGCGTAACAACCTGCCATGGCAATCTGGGCTCCATCAGACCCGTCGTGCATGGCCATAGCAACATTGGCAGTCAAGTCACCAAGTGAGTTCCCCCAAGCTAGGACGGTGAGTCCTAAAATGGAAGGGTTCATACCAATAATGGTCCCAAGTGACTCTAGCAAAGAGACCAATTCCTGAGCAGTGATGTATGTCCAAACCACGCTCATTAGAAACCCACTTGCATGCCAAAGAAACAAACCCTTTTGTGGTGCCATGGTACTATGTGTGAAAGCAAACGTACAAGTCCCTAAAGCAACCCCAATTACCAATGCGAAAGAGTATATCACCAAGCTAGCTTTTGAACCCATTTTGGCCTGTTGGGTGTTCAAAATTAGAGCCAGCATAATTGGAGATAAAACCATTGAAATCACAGCAAATGGCTTGGACCAACTCTCTTGTGTTATCGTGGGTATTGTAAGCCTTCTTGGCAAGTAAAATGGCAACCTAGTGATATAGAAAAGCAACATGATGATCCTCTTGCTGTGAGGTACAACTTTATCTGCAGATTGTACGAGTTTTTGTTGAGCATTAACACGAACCAGTAATGGTAGTCGGGAACCCTGCTGACGATCTTCGTCAATTGAGATTATTTGTTTCTTCATGGTGATGAAATGCATGTAAGAGACTAAACAAATGTAAATGATGTAAGTAGAAGCAAAAAGGATCGCTGCCCAGAAGCTGACTTTTCCGATGATGAAGATTACAAGGAGATTCGAGAGGGAAAAGAGGAGAAAAACGACATCTCTGATGAAATTAGGTCTATCAACTATAACGATTTTCCGACGGTAAGAGATTAATAAACTCAGTATTCCGACGACGACGGTTGAAACGAAAATTGCCCCACCTAGGATACTGTTAAGGCCAATATTTCCGCCGTCGCCGGAGGCAGTGAAGGATATTATGCTGGCGAAGACATCTGGTGAGCCGTTAGCTAACGGAAGTAGAGTGGTTCCGGCGATGGCAGGGGAGAGTTTGAGGATTTTCGACAAGTTCTCGACGGCGGGGCAAAAGTAATCAGCGGCAGTGTTGCTTAATAGGTAGAAGAGTATGACGAGCCATAGAAGGAGCATAAGGAAACCCAGTTGAGGAAATCTGGATAAATTACAGTAGAAGATCTGAAGGTAGTTGATGTAGCCTTTTGGGTGGCAATCGGCGTTTGTTTTTAAGTAGATACATTTGGATTGGGGGGATTTGTGGTGGTGGACGTCGGTGCAGGTGGTGGTTATGGTTTCAGTTATAGGATTTGCGGAGGAGGTGAGGTGGAAGGAAATGATGAGGAGGATACATAGGGTTGTGTGGGGTTTTGAAGGTGCAATCGCCATGGTTGCAACCAGAGAGGTTTTAATTTATTTGGAGCAGAGGATTCGTTTTTTGGAGAACGATGAGCACACGCATATATGGGCTGAAGAAATTACATTTTTTTCAAATATTTTTTCATGTATTTATTTTCACTATGAATAATATTAAATATTTGGTTACCAATAAAATATATATATTAATTATGTTAACGTAAAAATGGTTATAATTTTTGTTTGGTAAAACCCGGTTTTTGGAATTCGACATCAGGAAGTGTTTTGATTTCTCACGTTCTTGGTCAAGTAATGGCTCTAGCTAATTACGTTATAATCACTGAACAAACTCGAATTACCGGTGAAGAAAAGGAAGGGCTCGGAAGACGGGCGGCGGAAAAAGAAGTTTGATTTTTTTTTTATATAACAATTGTTTTAAGTTTATCGCCTTTATTTATTTTAAAAATTAGAAAGGTACTCGTGCAATGCAGTGAGATAAATCTCGATTTTAATGTCTAGTTTTTATTTTTTGTTCTTATTGATATAATACGATTTTATGTGGTTTTGAGAAAGCGATAATGTTTTTATTTTTTAATGAGATATAAATTTGAAAAAAATAAATCGATATTAGTATCAAATTAACTATTTAATACTTCTCGTTTTTTTGGTGTAACTTCTTTGATTCAATTTTTTATTATAATTTAATTTAAATTTAATAACAAAGTAATTTGTTTTTGGGTTAACAATATAATTTTTTTAAAGAAAATAATTAAACATTCTTATAGAACTCAATAATTATCCTAATTATATTTTAGATTTTTTATATTTAAAATTGATGTTTATCCTGTATTTGATTATGTTTATCTGCAGTTAATTACACGAATTTAAAAATGAATTTTTTATAAGTTGTACTTACACAAAATTACTTGTAATCTTGAATTTTAAGTAATATGCATCAATAAACAGTACTCCATGTATAAAAATTGTTTTTTTTTAAGTATATAATATTTACTAGAAGCGTATCCGCGCAATGCAGCGAGATACATTTTGATTTTATATATTTCATTTTATTTTTTTATCTCAATCGATGTTATAATATGGTTTTATGTGATTTTGAGAAAACGATGATGTTTTTATTTTTGAATAAAATATATGTTTGAAGATATCATAAAAATTTGA